ATGTTGGTTGAAACTGAAAACTTGAGAGATGATGGACCATGGGGAAGAAGTTACATTTATGAAGCCCAATCCCTTTCAAAATTGTTCATCGATGTTCTGAGAAATCCTGACAATTTTACAAACATTTTTATCTTTCTTATTTTGCAAGTCTGTCTCCGCTGTCCACCTAAGCCTTCCTCTAGATGAGCCGTCAATACCGCTGCTGGGCCAGCATCTTCCCAAGCATGGTTTGGGTACCAGTGGCAGTTTTGTGATATGAATTTGGTTGGCTCATAAACCTTTTTGTAATAGTCATATATTTATATTTTAGTGGATGTTTTCAAATTCTCTTGGTTTTCCAGTAATATCAATGACATAAAATTTTAAAATGTCAGGGCCAGCCTGGTGGTGCAGCAGTTAAGTTCGCACATTCTCCTTTGGTGGCCCAGGGTTCGCCAGTTCAGATCCAGGGCACGTACCTACACACTGCTTATCCAGCCATGCTGTGGCAGCATCCCACATATAAAGTAAAGGAAGACGGGCATGGATGTTAGCTCGGGGCCAGTCTTCCTCGGCAAAAAAGAGGAGGATTGGTGGCAGATCTTAGCTCAGGGCTAATCCTCCTCCTCAAAAATACCCACAAAAAACAAAAACCCAAACAAACAAACAATTTAAAAATGTATGTAAGTTTAAAAATAGTGATCCAATTTAAAGGAAAACACTAAATAAATGATAATACAGGCGGTACACATATGTTGGTAAAAATTATGAAACTGGAATGTGAGTGCTGTTGGTGAACACTGGGTGAGACCAATGCTTTTCCTCTCCTGTGCCTGCTTCCTGGCAATGTGCCTGTTTCCCTTAACTCCCTCCCAGGTCCCTCCCCGGGTTGATGTGTTTGTGTAAACCTTACATGACTATCCTTAGAGGGGAAAAGCCATCGTGCAGGGAGCCTTCTCAAGGTGTGTCACTGCACAGAAGGGAAACGGCCCCTGGCCTTAGGGCGGGCGTGGAGTCTGGGAGGCTGGGGCTCAAGCCCCACTGCTGCCACTTACCAGCAGCGGATACCCTGAGCCTCACTTGCCTCCCCCTAACCTGTAGGATTGTTGTGAAGATTAGCAAGAATGATCTAAAGGGCCTGCAATGAAGCTGGCTTTATAAATGGCAGTGGCTATTATTTTAATTATTATAAGCCCCCATGAGCCAAAGGACAGCTTGTGTGTCAACACGAGTCATTATCTGTTGGGGCTAGTCGTTCCTTTTAGGTCCAGAAGAGACATGGGAAACGTTCCTGGAAAGAAGACCAACCAACGTTAGAGGGAGGAGCCGTTTTCTCATTGCCTGGACACACGTTCAGTGTTGAGCATTTACCAGGGGCTTGGTGCTCGCGATGCAGGGTGAAACGGTTGTCCTTCGCTTCAGGGAACCTACAGAGGCATGAAATAAACAAATACGCAAATCAACATGTAATCACCACTTGTAACCATCCGTAAAGGAAAACTTCAGAGAGTGAATAACACTAACCTGATTTTGGGGAGAAAACAGATTCTCTTGGACCAGCTGGTGGAAGCCTGGCTGGGCCCCAGAGCATCCTCTCCCAGCTGGGACTCCTAGGGGGCGCTCTGGAGCAGAGTGTAAAAGTCACTGGCATATTCCTCTTTCTCAGCTAACTCCGGCAGGTTGTTTTTAGCTCTCTGGTCCTCAGTTTCCTTATCTGTTAAGTGGGGAAATACCTCCACTTGCTCGGCATTCCCTGCTCAGCTCTCCCACTGAGGCTCTCCCTAGACAGAGGGTGCAAAAAAAACCTTTGTAAACTGTGATGCACTAAAAAATGTTTACTACAAATGAGTGAGGTAGCTTGCCAGGGTTGTCCAGCCAGGGCGTCCAGAATGAGCACTACAGGAAGAACTAGGGTGACCTATCGTCTGGGTATGCCCGAGACTTTGAGTATTAGAGATTGATCATCTTCGACTGGACTCCCAATTCCCAGCTCAGAACCCTGTCCTGGCATCGCCACCCTTTCTGTTCTGTGGGACTGGGTGAGGAGCTCTGGGTGCTCCTGAGTCCGGCTGCTGGGTTGTCCCCAGGCTGCACTAGGTTTGCCCGAGACCCCCTCCCAGGGTAGGGCCATGACGTGACTCCCCTCTCCACGCACAGGAGTGGAGCGACTACAAGCTGCGCTGGAACCCGGCCGATTTCGGCAACATCACCTCCCTCCGGGTGCCTTCGGAGATGATCTGGATTCCCGACATCGTCCTCTATAACAAGTAGGCTGGGGGCCTGGAGGCCCCTGGGAGGGTCCTGCAAGGGGCACGTAAAGTGAGGCTGGGCTGGGTTGGACTTCGGAGGTTGCCTCCCTCTCAGCTCCCGCTTTGCTGACCCTCACCCCTGCCACCTTTTCTCTTGATTCCTCTCTTTCTTTCATTTTGTTCTCTCACTCATACACTATAATTTATTGAGCATCTACTATATATCAGTGCCTGGCGCTGTTCTAGTGGGACACAGATTATTTGTATTATAGTGGGAGTATTATTTGAAAAATGTGGTTGGTGCAGGATCTGAAAACAGTGCCGACGGGCTGGAGCTTTGCAGGCTGGCAGTGTTGTTGACACAGGTAAGCCGCATCCTGGGTGATGCCTCTGCAGTGAGTGAACTCACTTGGTATGGGTCTTTGAAAAAAATCATATTAATTATAGCTGCCTTGCATTAGAGACCAAAAAGGACCAGTCTTCGAGCATAATGACTAGAAGATAAAAAAAGGCGGGGAGTGTAAAGAGAGCAGTACTGGACCAAAAAACAGTTGTTTTTCTTGATAGAAGATGTAGAGAGCTATAATTTCATCTCTGGGCTTGGTATCAGGTCGTGCTTCATTTAGAGCTCAAGAACTTACAATTAAAAGGTGTTTGGCATTATGTTCTTCTAAAAATGCTTTCTAAAGTGGGGCTCTAAGGAGCACTGGCTCCCGGAGACAGGTATAGCTGTGAAAAATGGTCCTGTGGTCAAAGACTTTAGATAACACTGTGCGTTCTCCTGCTTCCTCCCAGCCCCGGCCCTTTGGAGAATTCAGGACACAATAGCATTTTAAATATTGTTAGAAGTTGCTCAGCCAAGAAACCCATTTAGCCCAGCACTTCCCAATTTATTTGACCCAAGTTTGGAAAAGCTATTTTTAAACCATAAAATAAAGGGGCAAAGATTCACTTCTGGAGTTTGGGGGTTTCCAGATGATTGGAGGGGAACAACAACGATTCCTTCACACTGCCCAGTGCTGGTCAGGCCCAAAGCCCTCTCATCCAGCCACTGTAAACGCACATCCAGCACAGATGATCTGGAAGGTCTGATGCTGCAGGAGTCCAGTGTGTGCTGCTGCCGCTGGACTCACGGACCCCTCACCCCACATCTCTCTGGAGCCGGCACCCAGGATCCTTCTAGTGTCTGCTTCCTGTGCATCTGGCGGATGTCAGGAGCAAAGTCCCAGCATCAGATATGGCCTGGAGTTTTAGGATTGCCAATAAAGCTTTGGCAGTGTTAGTTGACTGTAACAGAAAATTCTTTTGATAGGACAAAGGTCCAAACCAAATTCCTGCGGACGTATAAAGAAGGGTCTCTTCTGTCCAGACATCCCACTCCAGATTGACAGGAAGATCGGGAAAGCGCAGCTTTCCTTCCTCAAAATGGGGCGCGTGTTGCCATCTGGTGGTGATTGTGTGTGAGGACAAAAATACCTTAAAAAAAATTAGCCTTTGACCTGATCCGTTTGTTACTCTCAAAGTTCCCGTTTCCAACCTGCCTATATCTCTAACCTGGAACCTCTCTGTGGGAAACACGTCTCTCTGCCTGCGTAGTCGTCTGGTTCCCCTGCCTTTCGGAATGACCATAGGAACTGGAGGACGAGGGACGGCAAGGGCGCTGAGCCCACTGCGCCACTGCTCAGGGGGAATCTGGGACTCAGGCTCCCAGGAAGCCCCTCCCAACTGGCCACCGCTGTTCCAGCGTCCCCAGCGCCCTCACGGCCTTTACATGCCTAGGTCCCACGACGCGGCCAGCCTCATCTCCCACCACCTCCTACTCGCGCCCCACCCCCACTCCTGCCCAGCTCCCGCAGCCCAAGCACGCCCCGAGAGTTTTGTCCTTCCCCGCCTCTGCTCCTTCTTCCTGCTGACGCTCTAGGGGTACGCTCTCCACCCCAGCTCTCCGCCGCATTCTACCGTCGGTCGTCAAGGCCTTGCTCAAATGGAAGTTTTCATGATGACCTTGCTCGCTCCAGCAAGGAGGGAGTTCCCCCCATAGTTCTTGGGGAGCACTCCGGCTGTTCTCATAGTGCTGTTGCCAAACTGCCTCCCGTGTTTGTAGGGTTTCCAGGCTGCGTCTCATTTCCCCCCCGGGTCTTTAGGGGCAGGCGTGACTCTCACGTTCCCTCCGCTCGCAGCTCCTGACGAGGCCGCAATGGGGACGCTGGCTCAGAAATGCCTGCTAACTGAATGGGGTCCAAGGGGATCTTCCTTGACCCGCAAAGATGTTAGGTGTCTTCTGAGGGAACTAGATATCCCAGGTGGAAAAACATGGCCCCCGCTGAGGGGCTTAGTCACCATCTGCTAGGGGGAGAAAATATACTCATAAATTATCACTCTAAAGTGTGAAATAAATACAAACAGGCAACCAAACTACACATACCTCATGATCACAAATATGTAAAAATGTTATATGTATGATCTATATGACAATCAAATACTTACATGTAACATCAAAATGTTGGTAGGGGTTATTTTTTAAGTTCTTGGTACATTCCTATATTCTTCAGAATTCCTACTTTTGTATTTAAAAAGATGGTGCATGAGGGGCCGGCCCTGTGGCCCAGTGGTTAGGTTCGCGGGCTCTGCTGCAGGCGGCCCAGTATTTCGTCAGTTCAAATCCTGGGCGCAGACATGGTACCACTCATCAAGCCATGCTGAGGCGGCATCCCACATGCCACAGCAAGAAGGACCCACAACTAAGAATATACAACTATGTACCAGGGGGCTTTGGGGAGAAAAAGGAAAAAAATAAAATCTTAAAAAAAAAAAGATGGTGCGTGAAAAGACAACTGAGGGAGCTGTAAATGAGTGTGTGCTGGGACAGTCTTATACACTTGCATAAAACCCGACGACTTGGCTGGGTCTGGCTTTGTTATTGGGGTCCCCCTGCTGCTGGTTGTGGGGAGCATCCTGGTTTGGGCAGGCGAGGTGTACAGGGCCCCCCAGCTCCTCTCGTCTCCCCAGTGCAGATGGAGAGTTTGCGGTGACCCACATGACGAAGGCTCACCTCTTCTCCACCGGCACTGTGCACTGGGTGCCCCCGGCCATCTACAAGAGCTCCTGCAGCATCGACGTCACCTTCTTCCCCTTCGACCAGCAGAACTGCAAGATGAAGTTCGGCTCCTGGACGTATGACAAGGCCAAGATCGACCTGGAGCAGATGGAGCAGACGGTGGACCTGAAGGACTACTGGGAGAGTGGCGAGTGGGCTATCATCAACGCCACAGGCACCTACAACAGCAAGAAGTATGACTGCTGCGCTGAGATCTACCCCGATGTCACCTACTACTTTGTCATCCGGCGCCTGCCCCTCTTCTACACCATCAACCTCATCATCCCCTGCCTGCTCATCTCCTGCCTCACCGTGCTCGTCTTCTACCTGCCCTCCGACTGTGGCGAGAAGATCACCCTGTGCATCTCGGTGCTGCTCTCGCTCACCGTCTTCCTGCTGCTCATCACCGAGATCATCCCCTCCACTTCTCTGGTCATCCCGCTCATTGGGGAATACCTGCTCTTCACCATGATCTTTGTCACCCTCTCCATCATCATCACGGTCTTTGTCCTCAATGTCCACCACCGCTCCCCCAGCACCCATAATATGCCCCACTGGGTGCGAGTGGCCTTTCTGGGCTGTGTGCCTCGGTGGCTTCTGATGAACCGGCCCCCGCCACCCTTGGAGCTCCATGACCCCCTAGATCTGAAGCTCAGCCCCTCCTATCACTGGCTGGAGACCATGAGCATGGATGCAGAGGAGAGGGAAGAAGAAGAGGAAGACAGGTGGGTGTGTGCGGGTCATTCATCCCCCTCCCTGGGTGTCCTCTACAGCCATGGTGGTCTGCACCAAGGGGCCTCAGGCCGTAAAGTGGAGACCCAGTTGCAGGAGGATGGGCTTCTGCTGTCGCCTCGCATACAGAAGGCACTGGAAGGAGTGCACTATATTGCTGATCACCTGCGGTCAGAGGATGCTGACTCTTCGGTGAGTTGGGGCTGGGTGAGGGGCCCCTTGCCTGGGTAAATCTACCAGCCTAGTTGGGAACCATCTCACCCCAGGTGTTAGCTTGGTCCAACCCAGTCTACTCCATGAGGGCCCATGTGCATCAGTCATAGCCCTTGGGAGGCTGGAATAAACTGAGCGAGAACATCTAGCTGGCAGCTCTTAAAACATTTATTGGCAGGGGCCAAATAGCAGTCAAGAAAGCCCCAGCTAAGCCTAACTGGGAGACAGCAGGACAGAGAGGAGGATCTCAGAGCTTCCCATGCCATCCTCATGGCAGCCATTTCGCATGGTGAGCCTCTAGGTGGGGCAGAGGGAGGCCAGGGCATGTCACCAGGAGAGACCAAATAAATCAGGCTGCTGTGTTTTCAGCTTTCCTTCTCTGTCCTGATGGTCTCCTCCTCCTCCTCCTCCTCCTCCTCCTTGTTAGCGGGCTCTGGGCATTTTGTGAACGTCACTATTCACTCGCAAACCCTAAGCACTCTTGGTTGTACCAGGTGGGCTCCCCTCCCCGGCTCCTGCCATATCTGGCATTATTAGGTGAGCAAGCGACCGCCCAGGATTGCAGAATTCATCTTACCAACCTTGGGAAGGATGAGAGGCCCGGAGGTTATTACTGGATGGCCCTTGTTGAGTAGACAAGAAAATTAATCATTGTCTAATCCAGGAGCAGCTAGGAGTCTAGAGCCACCTGCCTGGGCTGCGAGCCGCAATTCCACAACCTACCCTCATCCCCCCAACCTTCCCTGGGCCATGCCTACCCTCGCCTACCTGCCCCCTGCGTCTCCTACAGTGGGTAGGGGAGTGGGCAGGGAGGTAACATGGGGCCAGCAAAGTCTTCCCCATTTTGTAACTGCTGAGTGTTGCATTTGAATCACTGCAGGCCCGCTGGGAGGGTCTCTGGCTCTGGGTGGTTCTAGAACCTCCTTGTGTCCCTCTAACCCCCCTTTCTTGGACCTTGAGAGCCTATAGGAAGGCTCTGGGCTGTGTCAAAGGGGTGGGATAGGATGGGAATCATTAGGAGGGGATTGTTTGAGTCTTAAGACAGCCCTATGTCCCCCTCCCCCCTTAGCTTCCCAAGGTCTCAGTGGGGCCGCTGCTGCCCCCAGTGCTATCCTTACAGGGCTGTGCATGGGTGGGACACTTCCCCTTTTCCAAGGCCTGGCCACTGTCACTGAGCCCATTTCCACCTGCAGGTGAAGGAGGACTGGAAGTATGTGGCCATGGTCATCGATAGGATATTCCTCTGGTTGTTTATCATCGTCTGCTTCCTGGGGACCGTTGGACTCTTTCTTCCTCCGTTCCTGGCTGGAATGATCTGATTTCACGTCTTTGCTTTGGCCCAAAGGTGGCACTGCTGACTGTCGTTAACTGCTGCTGCCTCTCGAGTATGCCTTTGGGGTCAACTCCATCTGACTGCGGGTGTCCCTCCGTGGAGTCCCCACACGAACCCAATCATCCAAGACTTCCTGGAACAATTCACTTGACATGATTGTACCCTGTGCTGAGAATCTGCTGGGCACAGAGCTCTGTTTTGGACACTGAGGAGCTAGGAAAAGAAGGAACTTGCTCTGCAGAGTTGACAGTATGGTGGTGACAATGTGAAGCTGTGTAAGATTCTCATATGGAGGAGGAACAAGAAGGGGGAGCTGAGGGTGGCGGTGGGGCCAGGTGAAGAGGCACAGACCTCAAAGGAGGGGAGAGTAGGGAAGATGGGAGACGGTGCCTCAGGGCTGGAAGGGCTGTGAACAACATTTTGGATTCAGGAATGAGCCTAAAGTGTCAGGGAGAACAGCCAGGCTGAGGGGTGCTCCAGAGTGGGGAGCAGTGGGAGGAGGCAGGTTGGAGCATCTTTAAACCAGGTGGAGGAGGGAGTATGAGCTGTCTGGTCTAACAGTGGAGTGGTGGAGGTGCTTCCAGAAGGGAAGAAGGGGAGGCAGGGCCCAGGTGGGGCAGAGGAGGGATGCATGATTGGATGCTGGGCCATCCCACCCACCTGGAAGCACTTGCGGACCCCTGGCCTCTCCTTCCCTTTAGCCCCTCCCCTTCCCTGCTGCAAATTGGCTCAGCACCAGCCGGCCTCAAGAGGTTTGGCAGCACTGAGAGTCCCTGTCTGCAGGGGCACCATCTATGCTTAAATGCACATGGACAAGCCGGAAAGACATCCCTGGCCATTCTTGACCCACCCCAACCCTACAGCCTGCTGCCTCCCTCCCTCCACAGGGCGAGTGGTGGTCGGCACTCAGGATGTTTTCTCTGGGTGACTGAGCTGGATTGCTTTCGACCCTGAGACTGCTGTGTAAATGCACAAGCTGCAGGACTCCTTCCTTCCCCACCTGCTCCCCCTCTCCCTGTTTGTCCCAAAGCCCGGTGATGTCCTCTGACCCTCCGTGCAGCCTGTTCTCCCCCTGGAGTTCAGCAATCCAAGGCTGTCAGCCATGTGCGGGAGCCTGGAGCCTCTCCCCAGCCCTGTCCAGCCCCCTGGAGGGGGAACCATGGCAGCCAACAGATATGGGCACTGGGTTCTCTGGACAGAATGGAGACCTTGGACAGGAAGTCGAGCTGGGTGAGCTTCCAGTTTCCCTTCGGGCTTTGGGATTTCTTCCTTCCAAACCCCCAACTTGCCTCTTCCTGACAGACCAGGGGAAACCTAAGACACCCCAGCCCGGGCCTCCACTCCTCAGTTCTCTCCCAAGACCCCCACTCAGTGGCCCATTCTGGTTTCTGGCTCCTCTCTGATCCTGTGAAGCAGCCCCTGGCCTGCCCTCTCCTCCCTCCTGGCTCTCCCAGACTTGGTCTCCTGGTGCAGTGACATTCGCTCATGTTATTCCATCTCCCATCCATCTTGCATGTGAGTAAAGAGGTTAAATAAAGCTGAAGCTGCAGCTCATTCAGCTGTGGGACCCCTCCTCAGCATCCCCAGGACCACCCAAGCCCCCTAGAGCCCTTGTTGTTTGGTGCGAACTGGGAGGGCACCATTGGCATTCCTCATGTGGCCGTGGATGGGGCTGTCCTGGACCCCACTGGAAAGTGGCCCTTTGGTCGGGCGTCGGGGCAAAGGGGCTGGAGCACACACTGACCCCGCTGCCCAGTGTCACCCCACAGCCCCAGGTTTGAGCCCCAGCATCGCCCTTTATCTGCACCCAACAGGAGCACAATTGATTTCTTCCAGGGCTGTGGCCTGAGGTCAACATTCCCCAAAGAGCAGGTCAGACCGACAAAACAATCAAACCACAAAGCAAATGGTACAATTTTAATTCATCCACAAGTCAAATAGAAAGAACGTAAAAGAGTGTTCTGCACAAACATGAGAGAGAGAGGGAGGGAGGAGATGAGGAAGGGGGAGAGAAAAGGAGAAGTAAGAAAAGGGAGAGAAAGAAGGACGAGGCGAGGCGGCGAGCGAAGGAAGAAAGAGGAGGGGCGAGGGAGAGAGCGGACTGTGGCCCAAGTCCTGTTTTGGCCTCGTCTCTCCCCTTCTCCCCAACGCTTGGCATGTTGACAACACAGCGTCCTGTGCTGGGACTCCCAATGGCTTGTTCCTGGACTGTGTCCCAGGTCCCCCCTCAGGGGGGCACACGGCTGTCAGTCCAGACCAAACTCACATTAAATAAATTCCAATATACACTGTACAAGAAAGCCAGGTCCATCCCTCATCTCACCATCCACCCACCCCAAAAGAAAGCCCCTCCCTGGTCCCTCTGTGCATGGGGGGGACCTCTGAGTTCGGAAGAGGAAGGAGAAGGAACAGCTTGGTTCCCAAATGGGCCTGCCATGTCCATGCATAACACCACTGTGGCCACTAGGGACACCAGTGTGACCCCCCTGCCCAACCGGCCTGGCGGGTGTGAGGAGGGAGTGTCTGGGAGGCAGCAGGGCCCCCTCTGAGCCCTCTCTGTCATCCCCTGGTATCTACAGCCCTGAGGCCCCTCTGTCCAGCTGCAGCCTGAGCAGCACAGTCTGGGGGTCGGGTGGGGAGAGGGGGTCGTGCAAAGTGGCAAGGGCAGAAGGTCTCCCCTCGGCCTTCCCCCTGAGAAGACCCACGTGACCGAAGGCAAGGTGGGGGCCGGGGCAGGGGAGGTACACGACAGGCGGGGCGGAAGACGCGGGCAGGTGGCGCCCACCCTCCGTCACTCTGCAGGCGGGTGGGCCAGGTTGGCCAGAACCTTGGCCTGGTCCACAGCATCGAGCAGGTTCTTGGCGTCCACAGCCAGGGTGTGGGAGGCTGTGAGCATCTGTCGCTTGCACTCCTCGCTCAGGGAGGTCACGGCATTTTGCTGGGCCAGCCGCATCTTATTGATGAGCTCAGCCAGGTCCTTGTTGAGCAGTTTCTGGGTCCCCTCAATCTGTAGAAAGAGTGCACGGAAGAGTCTGGGAGTCTGAGAGGCTGCAAAGTCTAGGCCTGGAGGATTAGGAAGCCCTGAAAGTGTCCACCTGGGCAGTGGCCGAAGCAGTCGGAAGTTCTCTGGGCGGCAAGTCAGACCTGGGCCTGGGCTGAGTCCAAGAACCCATGTGGACTGGAGCCAGGTCAGCAAGGACAGACATTGCAGACATCCTGGACCCCAACTCACCCCGCCCCAGCCCAGTCTGATCCAGCCCCACAGACCCTCCTCCCTTCATGGCAATGTCCCCTCTTGCTGGCCCAACATTCAAGTGGATGGTCAGTGGTCAAGTGTGTTTATTCACTTGTTAGCCGTCCACTGTCAAATCAGGAGATCAGGGCCAGTGGTTTGGGCTGTAGGGGAGAGCTGTAGGGTTCCATTTACTGCTGTATCTTCAGCCTAGCACACCGCTGAGCACATGCTCTGAGCTCAAGTGGAATGAGTGACTGGACGATGGCTGGCCTGGGGCTCCTCTGTGGGCTGCTGCCGCCACCCAGAGGGAAGCCAGGAAATGCCCACACCCTCCTGCATCGTCCTATCTTGAGCAGTCACAGACAGTGGGGACAGTGGTGGGGTGTGGGGGTCACCTGTGCCACGTCCCTGGCCACTGGGGGATGGTGGATCAAACTACAGCCTGGCAGGGGTTGTGGGGTTCTGCTGGGGTCTATGGCTGGTTTCCAGACAGACACCCAACAAATGTGCAGAGGCACCGTATGTTTCGTATTGCCATGGTAACAAATTACCACACATGTAGTGGCTTAAAACAACACACACTTATTCTCTTACTGTTCTGGAGGTCAGAGAGGTCCTATGGGGCTAAAGTCAAGGGACAGCTGGGCTGCATGCCTTCTGCAGCCTCTAGGGGACACCCTGTTCCCTGCCTTTTCTGACGCTGCCTTCCTTGGCTTGTGGATCCTTCCAGCAATGGCATCATTCCAACCTCTGCTTCTGCTATCACATCTCCTCCTCTGACTCTTATAAGACCTCTGCTTCTGCCTCTCTTACAAGGACCCTTGTGATTACATTGGACCAGCATAATCTCCCCACCTCAAGACCCTTAACTTAATCACACCTGCAAAGTCCCCTTTGCCATGTAAGGTAACAGTCATGCGTTCCGGGCCTTAGGACGTGGACGTCTGGGCAGGGGCATTATTCTGCCCACCCTAGGCCCCACCTACATGTAGGGCACCAAGACTCCATTTTGGTTTTCATTGATAGTTTGTTTCTCACTTAAATAAAGAAAATGAGATTAAATGACCCATTAAAGAAACCTTAACAGCTATTTTGATGGCACAGACACCTTAACCTTGGGCTGGAGGGTGACCACATAAAGGAGCGCGGGAGGGGAAGGGCAGCTGTGTGCTCCTTTGCATATCCTCACACACTGAGAAGTTGCTGGAGCCATCTAAGACTAAACTAGGACATTCGCCATGGGAAGCTGGCCGAGTCTCTGGGTGCCAGCTCAGCTGCTTATGGTACCCGCTCAGATGTGCTGTCAGAGCCAACTGCTGAAGGCCCAGCAGGCAAGATGAGGCTGCTCAGGGCCCTCATGAGCCTCCTGTGTGGAACACAGCTGGGGCAGGTGGAGGTGAAGGGGAGAGGCGACAGCCAATGGCACATTCTGGGACGAGGACACCCACCTCGGTCCGTGAAGATGACGGCAAGGAGGGCAGGAGATCGTCCACGCTCCCGATGAGCTTCCGCAGGGTCAGGCCCACGTTCTGGGAGAGAAAGGGGCAGGGTGACTGTCACCTTTCTTTTGAGAACCTCAGGTTTCCCTTGGGAAGAGCCTTTCTGGGACAGGACCCACCTTCCGAGGCTACCTGGGACTAGATTCCCTTTGAGCACCTTGCTGTACTGGGGGTCTTCCTGGGAAAGGCACCTACTAGGCAGACAAGGAAGCTCAGCCCCTCCCCGTTTCCCTCCTGGGCGCGATGCGCAGCCTGCACCTTGCTGTCCCCGCCTCCTGCCCCTGGCTCTCACCTTCACCACCACCACGTAGCCCTCGGGAGGCAGCTGACAGAGCTCGTTCTTGAGGTCCAGCACAGCCCGCACCAGCTCCATGACGTTGAGGTACACCAGGTCGTCGGTGCGGTCCAGGTTGGCTGTGGGCTGGATGGACTGCGGGGAGAGAAGCAGACCGCCGGAGGGGCAGGCTGTGAGTCAGGGGGACAGCACCAGTCTTTCCCGGGCAGGCACCACCGGTGCCAACTCAGCCACCAGCCCAATATGAAAAGACTCTTCTCCGAAATGATAGTGCCCTGCCCTCCCTTCTGCTTCCAGGGCAGTGGTTCTCACGTTAGAGTCTGCCAGGGGGCCTTAGAGAAGACTGGTGGCCGGCTTCACACCAGACCAACCGAACCACCTCCTGGGCATGGGGGTCAGGTGGTGTTGGAAGTTCCTCAGGTTATTCTAATGGACAGCCAAGGCTGTGAGCCACTGTCCGAGAGTGAGGGTCTCAGGCCACCGTAGGAACAGAGTGGGTGCTGGAAGCCAAGCAGGCAGGCTTGAGAGAAGAAGGGGGCCCACACCTCCTCTTCCAAGGGCTGGACCAATGGGCTTTCCTCCAGGTTGGGGAGAGGGCACGAGAGACGGGAGACTGGTCTTCCCCTTGCTTTCTCATGGGTTAGCTGTGTGGCCTCAGACGAGGCACTTCACCTCTCTGGGCCTCTGCTATATAATGAGGATACTGGACTGGGTGATTTCCGAGGGCCTCCGAAATCCTTTCAGTCCACGGCCTCCAGTCTTGTGAAGCCCTGCTTCCAATTCATTACCAGCTTCGGCAGAGCCCACACATACCTGAGCGCCCAGCCGCGGTGGCTTCTGTGGGGGTCCCGTGAACTCTGCTGCAAGGGAGAGGGGGAGTGAGTAGGGGGAGTTTTCAGCATCCTGGCCCTTCCCTTTGTGACTCCTGATAACCAAACCAACCCTCTCTCCTCTATTACCGCGAGACCCAGAACAATTAACCCTGAATTCCAGGAAGAAGGCAGGGAAAAGAAGCTCTGGTCAACCTGGTCCTCCCTTTCTTGGGGACAAGCACTGCTGTCCATCTTACAGAAAGAAAAAGCCAAAGTCGCAGCAGAGATGGAGTGACTGCAGTGGGTGTCCCGACCCCGGCAAGCCTGTGCTCCCTGCCCTGGCACCGGGCCCTGAGGACAGCACACACACTGGCCTCGACAGCCCGGGAGGAAGAACTTCACTCTGTGAAGGCAGCAGGTGGCTGTGGAGCCCCCACCCCGGGGCAACAGCAGCTAAGGGGGTAGATTTGCGAGGATTCCCCAGTAGTTTGCTTTGAGCGTTTGGGAGTCCAGGGAGTGAAATGGCAGAACCACACTATTCACTCCCACTTTGATCAGTGAAGACACCTACAAGCCCTGTGGAGCTGCTGGGAGAGTGAGCCCTGGAGTGGAAGTCGGGAGACCTGGTTATACTCTCATCTCCACCTCCAAAGAGCCGTGTGACCTAGGGCGGCTCACTTACACTCTCTGGGCCTTACTTTTCATCTGTCACATAAGAGGGTTAGCTCAGAAGGTACCTGGAGCCTGGGCTCAAAGCTGAGCTCTGCTAATTACTAGCTGTGTGACTTTGGATAAGTTACTTAACCTTCCTGTGCCTTGGTTTCATGTCCGTTGTAAAATGGGCATGATAATAAATTGTACCCATCCCAGAGAGCTGCTGTGAGATTAAGTGAGTTGACATTTGTGAGCAACTTGGGCCCATGCTTGGCTTGTGTTTAGTTCTCTGTGACTGTTGTCATTGTCGTTG